CCCCAAAACCCCAAAACCCCAAAACCCCAAAACCCCAAAACCCCACAGAGAAAATTTTAAATTGGAAAATTTTAATAGCAAATGAGGGTAAAGCGATTGAAGAGAAGGGATTTGGCTGGGTTTTAAGACTGGAAGAAAAGTGGGGGTTAAGGGAAATGAAGGTTGGGGAAGGGATAGTGGAAGAAGGTGGCTTGAGGGTTATAGAAGATTTGGTATGAGTGGGAGTAGGGGAAGAAAGGATTGTTATAAATTGTTAAAGTATTTTCGTTTTGAGGCGAGAATTAGGAGCATTATTTCATTTTCTTGTTGAAGTGAGTCTTTTAGCATAGTTTATGTCAAAGTAGGATTGTGACTGTGGAAGAGAGGCTGAGGATTATAAATAAATAGGAGGATGGTTGAATGGATGATATACTTGAGATGCTAACTAATCAATTTGCTGAAAATTAGCCAAGACTAACTGGCACCAAACTTTACCATAAACCCTATAACACAGAACTAAACCATGAACAACTCCTCCCTCATCTACCCCCTCCTTTAAAACCTACTTTTTACCACTCCCTTACATAAAATCCCCCACTTCCCACCCTAAACAAACCTCTCCACCAAAATTCCCCACCCTTCCCCAATTCCCAATAACCTGCCCACCATCTATCTCTTCATCCCCTACCCCCTCAAAATCTCCCAGCTACCACCTCCATTCAAAATCTGACCAAAAGTTCTCCCCTAAACGCCCAGATTCTACTCTGAATTCCAAATCTGCGTAAAAATTACTCGTTTAAAATCTGAAGAATAGGAAAATATTAGGCACTGTTTATGTCGTTCATTGTTATGAGGATTTCTTGAGATGGAGAGTGGGATTTGGCATTTGGAGGGGATTTATGAGTGGGGTGGGGTATAGAAGAGCTTCTTAGTCTAATGGCTTGTTGGAGTAGGTCCTTTATATCACTTTGTAGCTTTGATTTAGTGGGATGTCTCTGTCATGTTATTTCCTTTCAAGAAAATCCATTATCAACAAATTTTACACTATTTTTAATTGGAGAAACTTCTTTACGTAAATCAGCAAAATAAGGTAATAGCCGAACAGAACAGGAAAAGGGTTCAATGAGTTCTTCACTCTTAAACCTTCTTCTGAAAGGATTAGCTGCCATGTTCTTATGTAAACTCTTCGAGACATGAACACTTAAAACAGAAGCGTTCTCATCTAACAAATCTTCAGACACATCTTCATACAAAAGGGGCTTGTTGCTCATATTATTATTTATGATTTCAATCTTAACTCCCATATTAGGGGTTTTGGGGTTTTGGGGTTTTGGGGTTTTGGGG